CCTCAGCGTGAAGAGGCAACATCTTGCATATTTCTTTCAAAGGTTCATGGGTCACCCCTAAGGGGTCAGACTCTCTGGGAAGCGACCATGAAGAGACAAAAATCAACAAATGTAACACAGGTGAGACGCAAATCACAGCAGGAAAGCCACTACTGAGGTAAAAGCAGTTACGTTGTGGAAGTCTGTCAAGTGAACTTCAGCCCATCGAACACACTCGGCTTAACCTACCTCATAGGATTGTTGTTGTAAAGGGAAAAAATGTGCAGAGTTCTCATAAATGGTTGTGTTAGTCATGGAACAGACTAGAATGGGTAAACTCTTGGCTCAGTTCTGAGCAGGGCTCAAGATTCGGTGTGAGATGTAGATGTTTTTACACCAAAAAAGAAGAGATGATTTTAGAAGAAGAGATTGGATTTATACCCCAGCCTTCACTCGGAGTCTCAGAGCAGTTTACAATCTCCTTCACTTCCTCCCCCCCCCCATAACAGACACCCTGTGAGGTAAGTGGGGTTGAGAGAACTTGTGACTCACCCAAGGTCACCCAGCTGGCTGCATGTGGAGAAGTGGGAAATTCATACCCTGCTCTTCACTACTTGAAGGAGTCTTGGAGTGGCTTACAATCCCCTTCCTTCCTCTCCTCACAACAGACACCCTGTGAGGTAGGTGGGGCTGAGAGAGCTCTGAGAGAAAACTGTGAATGACCCAAGGTCAACTAGCTGGCTTCATGTGGAGGAGTGGGGAATCAAGCCCAGTTCTCCAGATTACACCAAGCTGGCTCTGGACGGGGGGAGGAAAGTGTGTTGTACAGCACTGTGGATCCCCCATCAGAGAGAAAAGTGAGGTATAAATGAATAAGCTGTTTCTTGTCACTGGCTTAGTAGTTCTACAGAGCTGCTGACGACCAGCCAAGCCACTATCTAGCCTAATGTTATGGGCTAGGCATTTCCTTCAGTTCAAAAAGAAGGCAGAAGAGCATTTGAAGAACCATAATATATATACACGCAGGGGTCACTTCCTGCAGGAGTGCACAGGAGCGGAGCTCCGGCATTAAAGAGCCCAGGGGGCGGGCACATGCAACAAGCCCCGCCCCCTGCTCCCAGCAGCCCTCAGTCAGAGCAAGAAGCAGCCAGGTAAGTTGCAGAGCCCCCCCCCCAGTCCAAAACAATCCAGTGGCACCTTTAAGACCAAGTTTTATTCAGGTACAAGCTCTCCCTCCTCTGCAAGGACAGATCTGCACATTCCCCCCCCCCCAATAGCTAGCAATCCAAAACAGTCCAGTGGAGCCTGAGCGGTGGGTGTTGCCTTCTGACACGCTTCCGGTGATGTCAGGGGGTGTGGCATATGCAAATAAGTCATGCTAATGAGTTATGCTAATGAGCTCCTGCACCTCTATTTCTATGAAATGACCCCTGTATACACGTACAGGCTTCATGCTTAGCAGGTGAGCGGTTTTCACTCTTTTTGCATTCACCATCTAAGGCAGGGGTGGCCAAACTGTGGCTCGGGAGCCACATGTGGCTCTTTCACACATATTGCGCGGCTCCCGCTACAGTGGCTGGGGAAGCAAACGGGAGGCATGCCCCCCCAGTCGGTCTTCCCTTCCTCAGCCAGTGTAGAGAAAGAAAGCAACTTGAACTTCAAATGCATTCTCAAAACCCTCTTCCCCCCGCCAGCCGGCTTGGAGAAGGCATTTGTCTATGTAAATCCCTTCTCCAAGCCAAGCTAGCTGGCACAGGGGTAGGGGGGGCCTGGGGGACACATTTAACATTAAAGTTGCTTTTTTTCCACCTCTCCCTCCCTGCCCCATCTATCTGCTTTCTTTCCACCTTCTTTCTTTCCACTTTCTTTCTCTGTATCTTTCTCCCCTCCCTCCCCATCTAAAGTTATCAATCTCTCCTTATATATAATTCTGTAAGACGCAAACTCACGCAAATGCGCACCAACAGTGTTTGGACGGCTCGGCTGTCCGTCAACGGCTTGCCCACGTCCCATTGGCCACGTCGTCTGAGTCCCACCTCAGACGCTGCTTCACGCGGCCTGCGGAGGATCTTCCCGGGGGCTGGAGGCGACGGGCGGCTGCGCCAGGCGCCGGACTAAGACCGGCGCCTGCGGAGGATCTTCCCGGGGGCTAAAGGCGACGGCTGGCAGCGACGGGCGGCGGCCTCAGACCAGCGGCCGGATGGGTCACGACGGAGAGGGGGAGGAGGCGAGAGCCGTGCCGACGACAGCCCAGAGGCGCGAGTCGCTTGGGCCGACAGGCGGCAGCCTAAGGCCAGCAGCCGCCTGGGTCCGGCCGGAGAGGGGGAGGAGGCGAGCGCACCGCGCAGGCCACATGAGACCTGCGAGTGGCTGGGTCCGACGGGCGGCAGAGTAAGACCGGCAGCCACCAGGCTCAGCGCGGAGAGGGGGAGGAGGCGAGCAGGGGGGGACTAGCCGCCCGTTGTGTCGCCCTTCTCAACGGGCCTTGCTCCCACAGCCGAGAGCTGCAAGTGGCTGGGGCCGATGGGCGGCAGCCTAAGGCCGGCAGCCGCCTGGGTCCGGCAGGAGAGGGGGAGGAGGCGAGCGCTCTGCACAGGCCAGGCAAGACCCACGAGTGGCTGGGTCCGATGGGCGGCGACCTAACACCGGCAGCCGCCAGGGTCAGCGCAGAGAGGGGGAGGAGGCGAGGGGGGGCTAGCCGCCCGTTGTATCGCCCTTCTCAACGGGCCTTGCTCCCTAGTTTAATAATAAAAGCAAATTTGCATATTTTTCAATAAAACACGTGTGTGATATTTGTTCATGTCTTGCAGCTCTCAGACATCTGACATTTATTCGATGTGGCTCTTACGTTAAGCAAGTTTGGCCACCCCTGGTCTAAAGCCTCTTATTCTCTCCCTCTTTGTAATTCTCCCTTTTCCGTCTCTCCAGGAACACGACTGGGACGTTGATCTCCCTTTACATTGGTGTAGCTCTATTCCTGCCTCAAAAATAAATGCGACATACGCCCAATGGCTTGAGAGCTGAGCAATTCTTCTTATTCAACCCCACTCTGTCCAACTGCATAAAAGATTGTTTTTTTTCCTTCTGGACGGCAGTTCCTCCCCACCCCCCGCCCCGAGAGTGAAGAAAGATCCCTAACAGCATTGTAAAGTGACGTGAAATGATCGGAAATCTCCCCAACGTCTGCCACAAGTATTCTGATTTTAAATGAAGCAGTTATTTGTCTACATCAGAGAGTGTCTCTCGGTTCCCTTTTTCTCCCACGGAGAAATTACTTAATTAAACATTAAACAGCATGAACCGAGTAAAACCTTCTATCATTCGCTGCTTTTGCCTGTCAGGAGAAAAGTCGGGTAGAAGGAGAGAAAAAAACCCACTCCCGGAGCCCAAAGCATCCGGCTGCCAAAATGGAACGCCATTTTAAGTGGGAAAGCTACGTAGTCACAATCGCTCTTAGAAGCGAAAGACAGTTGTATCAACAGAAAGCTGTACGCAACTGCAAGTCATTTGTCAGAACCATGAAGTCCTCAAGCACTAGAGAGAAGTGCCCAATATAATGGGGCGAGAGATCTTACAGGCGTCCCCGAAAGCGTTTGCGCTGGTTACTCGAAAATCGTAAAACCTAATGTTTGTGTACCCCACAGGAACTCTCAACATTTCAGGGCAGCACGGTTGTTATGTTCTAAAGGTAATGCCGCTTTGAATGGAGTGGGGAAGGCAGAGCGGCAAAGAGAAACGTAAAACGGCCGGCTGGCCGACCTTGTAAATGGAAGGAAGGAGAGAGAAAGGCATTTCAAAAGATGTTCTGTGGATCCACATACAATCTAGTCCTCAACTATCACTTCTGACACACACACACAAAAAGCTTAACGAGAAGAGGATGGAAAAGAGCAAGAGTCCGGTAGTACTTTAAAGACTAACAAAATTTGTGGCAGGGCACGAGCTTTTGTGAGTCGCTGCTCACATCTTCAGATCTGTTTTCCCCACTGGCTGATCTATTTGGGAAAGAGAAATCAAATCAGTTTATGTCTTCTCGTACACAAGTTGAAAGTTAATTTAATGTCCTTTAATGCAAGGGAAGAAACCAGGGCTCAAAGACTTGTTTCTTAATCCTATTCACGCTTGCTTAGAAATAAATTTCACCGAATACAATGGAAGGCACTCCCAGGTACTAGAAAGAGCTGCATTTGTGTTGTGTCATTTTGTCGTCGTTGTTGTTCAGTCTTCTTCAGAATACATGCTTTGCATTTTTTGCTGCACTGAAAGGGTCGGGCATAGGAGTCTTTAAGGTGCTACTGGACTCTTGTTCTTTTCTACTGCTACGAGAAGATATTAGCGGTTGTATCCCCCTGACCACCGATTAATTCTAAAACAAGATCCTTCGGCTTCACCAAACAAGATCTCTAGAGAGATGGTATCTGAACAAATACCCTGTTGGATCTGACAGAGACTGGTATTCATTAATGATGCCTCTTCTTATAAATTCTCAGGTACACACCTATTGCCTAAGACAAGAGTCCCCAACCATGTTGAGCTCACCAACCCCTTTGGCATTTTCATCGAGGGTGGTGGATGCAAATACAAAATGATTTCCGCAGGAGGCGGAGCCAAGCACAAAATGGCTGCCATGGGAGGCGGAGCCAAGCACAAAATGCCAGGGAGCCAAGTTATGCATATTTATTTTTATATTTATTCTTTGGATTTATATCCCGCCCTCCCCGAAGGCATAGCCCTGACAGTAACTCTTCCACATTTCAGGCAGAGGTTTTAACACGATTTGCCCAACCCATCGGCTCTCCAGTGGCCAATCAGAAGCCCTGCGGTGCAAAAGCCCCATATCTGGCTCCACCTACTTTCTATAAAAATTCAGCAGGTGCCAGGAAAGGTGTCGAGGGGCCAAGAAAAGGACACTTCGGGTGGAGAAGGAAACGAAATGAAGGGTTCCCCTCTTAGGACAGTGTAATAAAAAAAACCCCAGAATACCGTAACCCAGAATTTTAGTGCCCAACCGTTGAGCTTACTTGATACTTAAGCCAGTGCTCGGGTCGACCTTCTCCCAGGTGTTCAGCTTTCCCTGAAGTTTCTGAGGAAAAGGAAAACAAGGCAAGGTTAACATTGTTCACTCAGTCAACTCCGCCTAAATTTACGAGACACATTCTGAAAGTCACCGTTGGCACTCGCAGCCTCTGTTATTCTGTACAAGTAAGCCAAGCGTCTATTTTGTGCAGCCAGCTACTGTACCCAGAAGAGATCTGCAAAACCATTACATAATCTGTGCTCAGGCAGCATCCACTAGGCTAGGCTAGACGACACACAGAGGGAAATAAGGCAAGGGGCCTCGCTTACTCTAGAGCGGAAGCAAAAATATCTTTATTGGATGGATTAACGACAATCAACACTATATGCTGCACTCGTATGGTCTCTCCCACTACCACCCCTCCCTTATTCCGCACATGCATTGTGGTTTAACTGAGTAACCTGCAATCCCAAAATCCCAGATCAGCTACACTTCCCCCAAGAAACAAAAAAATTAACCACATTTGTTAAGTGGTTCCCAATAATTCAGTTTCTCTCAGAAAAGGAGGCGATTCCCCCAGTCGCTAAGGACAATCTTTGGCTCTGTTTTTGAAATATTTTTTTCAAATTTAGAATATGCACACTGACCAATACTATTAACCTAATCATAAGACAATGTAAGCATTAAGGTATATGACCTGTACTTAAATAACGTTTATAGTCTGTATTAATGAATCAAAACTAATGTTGTAATGTACACTACATTACTGTGATAATATTGTTTTGTTGTGTTAAGCTGTTATGTTATCGTTATGATACATTATGTTCTAAACTGTAATATATTGAAATTAAAATATATATTTTTAAAAACATTAACCACCTTGCTTTATTTCCTCACAGTCTACACCATCCAGGGTTGTCGCCTCCCCCCTTGGAGGTGGGGGATTCCCCACTGCCAGGCCCCACCCACCCCTTCCTCGAGTGTTCGCCATACACTATCTGTCCCTAGGCAACTATGAAATCCCAGACACCACTGTAGGCAGACACACAATAATGATTAATCTGAATCCCTGACCTCCCTCACAATCCAATACATATTAGCAACTGCTAATTCTGTTGGTTTATGATGGGACACACACCTCCTCTTTCCACATCAGCTCCTCCCTTTTTCCCCTCACACAGAGAATTTACACTTGATGAACTCGTGGCGGAATTCATACCAAGCCTTGACTCCGACTCCTCCTGTCCCAACCTCTCCCATGAGAAGAGATTGGGTTTATACCCCGCCTTTAACTACCTGAAGGAGTCTCAGAGCGGCTTACAAACTCCTTTCCCTTCCCCCCCCCACAACAGACACCCTGTGAGGTAGGTGGGGCTGAGAGAGCTCTTTCAAGAACTGCTCTTTCAAGAACAGCTGAGAGGACTTGTGACTGACCCAAGGTCACACCAGCAGCTGCATGTGGAGGAGGAGTGGGGAAGCAAACCCAGTTCTCCCAGATTAGAGTCCGCACTCCTAACTGCTAAACCAAACTGGCTCTCCAAGGTTTCCCAGTACGATTTTCTTTCATGTATTTGATTAAGTGGGCTGTGACATGTAAAAGGTCATACTGAAATGAATGTTGTTGGTCTTTAAGGTGCTCCTGGACTTTGGCTTGAGATGCTAAAAAAGCTGCCACCCTGAAAATATTCCATCTTTCCTGGAAGATGTCTTAAGTCACGGCTCCACATCGTGGTGCCCACCAGTACTTCCCTTTGCACCCCCCCCCAAGGTCATCAGAAAGTGGGCAGGGCCATTGTAAGATAGATTGGTCTTGGCATAAGCCAGTTTGGTGTATTGGTTTGATTTCCCACTCCTCCACATGTACCTGTTGGTGTGACCTTGGGTCAGTCACAAGGTCTCTCAGAGCCGCTCTCTCAATAGCAGTTCTCTCAGAGCGCTCTCAGACCCACCTACCTCACACGGTGTCTGTTGTGGGGAGGGGAAGGGAAGGGAGATTGTAAGCTGCTCTGCGACTCCTTCGGGTAGTGAAAAGCGGAGTATAAAAACCAACTCTTCTTCTTCTCATTCAGTTGAAATGGTTTTCCACAACTACAATAACAGGCTGCCGCTGAAGGCTTATTCCATTCCCCCTTCAATCTTTCCTTCTTCCCAGAGGGTGCAAGGGGGGAGGGCACGCCATTCGGCTCCACCTCCTACAGCAGCCATTTAAGTTTTGGCTCCGCCTCCTACAGCAGCCATTTTGGAGTGGTGCTCACCACCCCCTCTCAAGATTCCCAAGGTGCCTGCAGGCTCAGAAGGGTTGGGGACTCCTGTTTTAAGTGATACGCAGCAGACTCAAGATGGAATTCTCGACATTAGCCCAGTCATAATTTTGCGAGCTTTTGTACATAAATTGTTTTGTGTAATGGTCAAGAACATGAGAAGGCACCATGACACAGATTGGGGGCTATGTGTTTGTCTACAAAACTATAGTCTTCCTCAGTGGTCAGTATCAGCTTACTATCTGGGAAGTCTAAGTTCAAAATCTCCAAAGGAAATGTGCTGGGTGAACTTGGTCTGGACACACAGTCTCAGCCTAATCCACCTGACTGGCTCATTGCTATTCCTGATCTAAATTGTTCACATTGCTTTCCTAGCTGGACCCCTATCAGGTACAATATACACTTCAGGAGAGAGAGAGAAACACAAATAAGGCAGGAGGACTAAGCCCCCTTGTACAGGCTCTCGGGGTGCTCACCTCCTTCTCTAATTCTAATGCCACCAGATCAGCTTGGACCTTCTCGAAGCGCTCTAGTTTCCTCTGCAGGCTGTCCACTTCTTCTCTGAGCAGCCCGGTGTTCTCTTTCATTTCCCTGGGAACAGAAGAGAAGTGGTACCCTAAGTTAAGATCACCCACTGCCCCCATTCCTGCCCTCCCTGATCTCAAAACAGTGTCCCACACCTCCACACTTAGCTACAGGGTTCCCACAAGACACGCACGGCCAACAGCTCGGCTGGAAAAGAGGGTACACCGCAAGGACCCATTGCCCAAAAGAGAACCTTTGTTGCCACGGTGCAAAAACGAACAGGGACAGGCAGGGACAGAGGAGAGATGAAACACACATGCATGCACGCATGCACGGAGAGTGACAGTTTACTTCAAACCTAAGATATGCGTTCTCCTCCCTGAGCTGCTGTAGCTCCCGTTCCATTTTGGGGAACCGCACCAAATCAGCCTTCATGCTCCTGACGACCACGGCGTCTTGTTCTTGTAAAGCCAGCTTCTGCTCCAAGGCCTGTCGAACAGAGGAGACAAAAACGAGCCTTCAGATAAAGCTGACAAAGGCATCTTCCCCAATTGCATGCAAAATAAATAAATAAATCTGTGCAGCCGCTGGGCTGGATCCAGACTAAACTTCTTTTCTTGATTCACTCATGAACCAAATTTACAAGACTGGTAATGTATCAAACCACAGTCTACCTTACGAGAGTCGTTCCCTACGTGCGAACACACTACGCCAAATTAAATCCAATTCTCTACAATACTCATTTATACGCAGAGCTGACAACTTGACACACAAATAAAAGCGTTTTAAATTAAATCCAATTCACTATCATCCTCATTTCTATGCAGAGCTGACAACTTGACATACAAATAAAAGTGTTTTACTTTATCCACAAATTCACTTTTCGTTGGGATGTTCTTTCATTTCCATATCTTAGCCAAGGTAAATCTAGCAGCAGATATAGTATACAAAGAGACTGCCTGGTAAGTCCTCGGAGTTAAGGATACATAATTTAACAAATATATTTCTCGCTCAGTTACCACATTCATCCCCAATCCTTGTATTAATATTATAGATGCCATCTACCATCTTTCAATATTTTTTAGCCCCAATACGTTTCCATCACACGTGGATAATTGCCTAATGGCGACGTGGAACTTTCCTGCTTCTCCTCTCCCACTGCAGAAGAAGAGTTGGGTTTTTTACACCCCGCCCTTCACTACCCAAAGGAGTCTCAAAGCGGCTTACAATCGCCTTTCTCTCCCCACAACAGATACCTTGTGAGGTAGGTGGGGCTGAGAGAATTCTGAGGGAATGGTGGCTGGCCCAGCAGGCCCCATGTGACTCAAAGCGGCTTACAACCGCCTTCCCTTCCTCTTCCCACAACAGTCACCCTGTGAGGTAGGTGGGGCTGAGAGAGCTCTGAGAGAACTGCTCTTGAGGGAGCAGCCCTGACAGAACTGTGACTGACCCAAGGTCACCCAGCTGGCTTCATGTGGAGGAGTGGGGAATCAAACCCAGTTCTCCAGATTAGAGTCTGCTGCTCTTAACCACTACACCATACTGGCTCTATGACCTCTGGTCTCTACAAAAAGCTGCTCCCAGGGGCTAGAAGACCTTGAGGAATGATGTGATGGGGATCTGCAGTGGGAAAACAGCAGAAATTCCCAGTTCAGCGAGGATCCAATCCAATCCATTAACTTCACAGTTAATCCAAAGAAACAATGCCATACACATGTTAAGATAAGAGCTACTCTGTCCTAAGTCAACTCGATACTAAGAAAACGATCGCAAAACACTTAAGAAGATCCCCCCCCCCCCAATTTTTTCTTTTTTTTTTCTTATTATTGTGGTGGAAGAAATGGAGATAAAGGCCAAATCTTTCCCAAGAGCAGTTCTGTAAACAGAAGAGATCGCTCTATACCAGAGCTCCCAATGTGGTGCCCGCCACCATCTTTGGTGGTACCTGCCATATGTTTTCATAAAGTCGGCAGGTCCATGTGGGGGTTTCATCCAGCAAGGCTTCTGACTGGTTGGGCAGATTAAAAGGCACACTGTCAAAGAGGACTTCTGCCTGAAACGTTTATTAATTAATTAATTTATTAATTTAAAACAAGTCTTTGCCACTTTGCCACCCAAACAGGACCCCCAAGGCAGGCTGAAGAATTACTACAGTTATGCATAACCTCACTTCCTGACATTTTGTGCTCGGCTCCGCCTCCCATGGCAGCCATTTTGTGCTTGGCTCCACCCCACGGCAGCCATTTAATGTTTATTTGTTTGTTAAGTTATACCCCACCCTCCCCGTCGAGGCAGGCTCAGGGCGGCTTACATAAAATAATACACAAATAACAGTTAAGATCCACATAAAATCATCTAAAAACAGTTCAGTTTAAAACAATTCGATATTATTAGGTGCTTGCGATGACTAATTAAGTACTTAGCCATGGCGTATTGTATGACTGCCAGTAAAGATCTTACTAAATATTCTCCTCAGTCATATAAGCGGCGGCACTGGCTGTAGGTGTCAAAGCCAAGGGGTCAGGGTTCTATAATTACAATGTTCAGCTCTGCCCCCCTTCGGCAGCCATTTTGTGCTTAGCTCCACGCCTACGGCAGCCATTTTATGTTCAACTCTGACCCCCTATGGCAGCCAATTTGTGCTCAGCTCCACCCCTACGGCAGCCATTTTCTGGTTGTGCCAACCACCCTATGTCAGGATTCCAATGGTGTCCATGGGCTCAAGAGGGTTGGGGAGCCCCGCTTTATGCCAACAAGATGGAAGAAGACAAATTTGAAACTCACCTGAATCTTCTGTTCTTTCTCAGTCATCTGGGCCAGTTTGGCTTGAAGGCCTTGGATCTCCTGGCTGGCCTCTTGCCACTGCCTGTTCCATAAGGACATAAAATACCCATTTAATACAACAGAAATACTCAAGAAGCCCATGGGCACGACTCGTAAGTCCTGCTTATCGTCTATCAAGGATAACACAAGTATCTCCACGTGAACAAAACCATCAGAGGGACAGTTGTATATGACTTGAAAGAACACATCCCATCTTATGGTTTAGGTCAAAGAAATGTTCGCCTCAACATCCGCAGCATTTAAGTTCGTGACCTGGATGGCCCAGGCTAGACCAATCTTGTCAGATCTCAAAAGCTAAGCAGAGTCAGCCCTGGTCAGTAGAAGAAGAAGAGGAGATTGGATTTATAACCCACCCTTAACTTGGAGTCTCAGAGCTGCTTACAAACTCCTTACCCTTCCCCTCCCCACAACAGACACCCTGTGAGGTGGGTCCACCAAGGAAGCCCAAGGTTGTTATGCAGAGGCAGACAACGGCAAACCACCTCTGTTCATCTCTCGCCTTCAGTTGGATGGCCCAGGCTAGCTCGATCTCATCAGATTTTGGAAGCTAAGCAGGATCAGCTCTGGTTGGTTCTTGGATGGGAGACTACCAAGGAAAGTCCAGGGTTGCTATGCATAGGCAGGCAATGGCAAACTGCCCCTGAACACTTCTTGCCATGACCTGGATGGCCCAGCTTCATCAGATCTCAGAAGCAGGGTCACCGCTGGATAGTACTTGGATGGGAAACCACCAAGGAAGTCCAGGGTTGCTACACAGAGGTAAGCAATGGCAAGCCCCCATTTTTGGATCTTGGAAGCTAAGCAGGCTAGTACCTGGATGGGAGTCCACCAAGGAATACCAGGCCCTGACCTGGATAGCCCAGGCTAGCCCAACCTAGTCAGATCGTGGAAGCGAAGCAGGGTCAGTACTTGGATGGGAGACCACCAAGGAACCCTAGACTTGCTACGCAGAAGGCAGGCAACGCCAATCTACCTCTGTTCGTCTCTTGCCCTGACCTGGATAGCCCAGGCTAGCCCAACCTAGTCAGATCGTGGAAGCGAAGCAGGGTCAGTACTTGGATGGGAGACCACCAAGGAACCCTAGACTTGCTACGCAGAAAACAGGCAACGCCAATCTACCTCTGTTCGTCTCTTGCTTTGAAAACCCTACGGAATCGTCGTCAAGTTGGCTGCAACCTGAGAGTGCTTTCCACCACCACGCATGAAAAGAAGAGTGATAGCCGCCCTGAGCCCACTTGTGGGGGAGGGTGGGGTATAAATAGAATAACATAAATAAATAAAATAGTGTTACTGCTTCTAGGACTTTGGAGACCTTGCACCTTACAGCCAGACCTTCTTCTCATTCAGATATTACATAGGGAGTGCCTTGGGGAAGCTGACCCATGACGTGATCTGTTCCCACAAAGGAAGCAGCCGATCAGGCACTTTGCAGTTCCCACTAAAAACATCCTTTTACTCCGGTACTGATTAAGCAGCAGCAGCCACATCACCTGGCCACTTGACAGACCAACCCTTCTAGAAATCTATCAAACCACCACCTTAGAAGAAGAAGAGAATGGAGAAGAAGCCCACCCTTCTCTACCCAAAGGTGTCTCAGAGCGGCTTACAAACTCCTTTCCCTTCCCCTCCCCACAACAGACACCCTGTGAGGGAGGTGGGGCTGAGAGAGCTCTGACAGAAACTGCTCTTTTTTCAAGAACAGCTCTGACAGAACTACGGCATGCCCAAGGTCACCCAGCAGGCGCAAGTGGAGGAGTGGGGACTCAAACCCAGTTCTCCAGATTAGAGTCCGCACACTTAACCACTACACCAAACTTGCTCTGAGAACCTTCCGCCTTCCCTGCCTTCTAGCCTTTACACAGGATGGATCCTTAGGTATTGCATCAATACTTCCCTTTGCGAGACGAATATCAGATACCTAACCATAACTGAGATTCGGTCTCAGTTATGTTTACAGCAGCAAAAAATGTTGTAGCATCAAAAAACTATACAATAAAAACAATATATAAGGGAATACTTCCCTTTGTGTTACACCTGTGCTAAAATTAGGGTTGTCAACTGCTACAGAAAATGGCCACCTCGCAGGGCAGACTCTATGACCACAAAATCATACAACTGGAAGGGATCTCCAGGGCCATCTAGTCCACCCCCTGCACAATTCAGGGAATTCACAAATACCCCCCCCCAGTGACCCCTGCTCTATGCCCAGAAGAGGGGGGGACCCTCCAGGATCCCCGGGCAAACTGGCCTGGAGAACAATTGCTTCCTGACCCCAAAGTGGCGATCGGCATTTAACTGGGTGTGTAAGAAAGGGCCACAAGAACTAAGCACTGATATGACCCTTCCTGCCCTCCCTTCTCATGATCTGCCTGAGTTCCCTCCCTTAAAACCCATGATCCTTAGGCTCTCCCCCCAAAAAACTCCAGGAATTGCCAAGCCAGGAGCTGGCGACTAGTTTCAATGCTTCATCCCTTCTACAACCACATTTGATCCAGAAAACCATACATTTCCAACATGGGTCGTTTGTCACTTCCTGTCCCCAAACGCTGAATTTCCTGAGCAACAGGTTGGCCCGTCCTCTAAGGAGACACCCCAGAACTCAAAACAACTAAGCCAGGGACACAGTGACACAGCCCACAGCCTTCCACCCCAAGCAAGATAACCTAAAGCCTCCTGAGAAGCCTCTATTTCTCTTTGCTTTGGTTTCCCTTATTGATGGAAACCGGGTAGCAAAGGCACAATGGAGGTTCTGCAAGAGAAGGAGGAGGAGGAGGAGGAGATTGGATTTATACCCAGCCCTTCACTACCCAAAGGTGTCTCAGAGCGGCTTACAAACTCCTTTCCCTTCCCCTCCCCACAACAGACACCCTGTGAGGTAGATGGGCCTGAGAGATCCCTGACAGAAACCGCTCTTTTTTCAAGAACAGCTGTGCCAGAACTATGGTTTGCCCAAGGTCATCCAGCCAGGTGCAAGTGGAGGAGTGGGGAATCAAACCCGGTTCTCCCAGATTAGAGTCCACGCACTTAACCACAACACCAAACTGGCTCTGAGAACCTTCCGCCTCCCCTGCCTTCTAGCCTTTACAGAGGATGGATCCTTGCCTTTTGGGTGGCGGTCTTCCCAAAGAAAAGGGGGAACAGGCCCAAAAAACACATGGTAAGCAAGCAACCAACCAACCAAAGTCATCAGCTCTATGCATCGCCAGTTATTTCCATATTTTTTGGCTAAGTGCCTATAGATTCCTGTGACATAAACTAAGGAAAGAAAGAGGGCAAATTTAAAGACCAAAAAAGCCTTACCGGACTGTCACTTTTAGAAATGGAAATATGACTTATCTTTACTGAATTAGCCTTCATAAGAACAAAAGGAGAGCCCTGCTGGATCACAGCAATGGTCCATCTAGTCCAGCATCTCGTCTCACACAGTGGCCAACCAGTTCCTCTGGATGGACAACAACAGGGCATAGAGGCTGAGGCCTTCGTAAGAACCTCAGAAGAGCCCTGCTGGGTCAGACCAGTGAGGGTCCATCTAGTCCAGCATCCCGTCTCACACAGGGGCCAGCCAGTTCCTCTGGAGGGCCAAAAACAGGGCATAGAGACTGAGGCCTTCGTAAGAACCTCAGAAGAGCCCTGCTGGGTCAGACCAGTGGTCCATCTAGTCCAGCATCTTGCCTCACACAGTTACTCTAGGTGGCCAACAGCAGGGCACAGAGGCTGAGGCCTTCCCATGATTTTGCCTCCTGGCACTGATATACAGAAGCTTATGGCCTCCAAGATTCCCTGTAGTCACTGTGGCTGGTAGCCACTGAAAGACCTGCATGAATCTAACCCCCCGTCTTTAGTCCCCATCGTATTTCTCAGTCTCCCACTGGTGAGAAAAGAGGAAGGTTTTGGATTTAGATGAAGGGGGGGGAGGTGTTAACTAGTATTCCACTTTGGGGAGAGGTTTCCATTTTTGGTTCATCAAATTTCCAACACTGCGCATCTAGATCAAAGCAACCCTTTGAACAAGGGGAGAGTAAAAAAATCAAAAGCTGTTTAAAAAGTTCTGCTGAACAACACCAGCCTCCGAGGCCTTCATTTCCCAGCTAGCCACTGATCCTCGACTCACTTGCGTTGCGCCCCCAGCTGTTCAGTCATCTCTAGCTTCTCCAGCTCTCGGTCCTTGATCTCCATCTCCTGTTTCCATAACTTCAGCTGCAACTCGGACACCTTTGCCTTCAACTCGGTGGAGTTCTGAAAACAGAAAGGAAGCGGCAGAGGCTCAGAGACACCCTCAGGCGGAACGTCAAAAGCTGACGAGCCGCTCAGATCAAACTCTGGCTGGCCAGCGCGGGGAAGCGAGAAATACATAAATCAGGTTCCTTTTTGGGAAAAAAGAGCTACCTCAGAACAAAGGTAAAAACCGCCCTCTTTGATCTGTCACAGCCATTGAGCAAGGAACCTTGAGCTAGTAAATACAGTAGAAAAGAGCGAGCGTCCAGGAGAACCTTAAAAGATTAACAAAATTTGTGGCAGGGGATGAGCTTTCATGGGTCTTCAGATCTGAGAAAGTGAACAGTGACTCACAAAAGCTCACGCCTCCCCACATATCTGGTTAGTCTTGAAGATACTACTGGACTCTTGCTCTTTGTACAGCCCCAGACAGACTAACACGGCTGTCCATCTTGGTCAAGTAAATCCAAACAGCAACGTTCAAAAATGGTGCTCCTGTCCAAACAAAGGATTTGTCAGGAGGGTGCAAACGGACCCACCCACGCCATAAAAATATAGCCTCCAACAGTGGAAACTGCAGCTGATTCATTCTCCCACAGGCAAGGAACAATGAGAGCACTACAGTTTCAAGATGGCAGTACAAGTCAGAGTTACCTGAACTAGGTTATGTGCAAACTGGAGAGGTCATTGGGCCTCCGTTTGCTCATCAACAAACTAGTTATCAGTCACCCTCACGGACAAGAGGACCGCTTCTTCTGTTAACACTCTAGAGTAGGGGGTCCCCAACGTGGCATCCGTGGGCACCAAGGGAGCCTTCCAACACGTTTCTGGGCACCCATTAAGAGTTTTAGATAGTCGATGGGGTCAGGCGGGGCTCCTGCCTAGCAGGGCTTCTGATTGGCCACTGGAGAGCTGGTTGAAGTGACGTTGCTTTGGCAGCAGCTGCTACCACAGTAATGCTTTTTTTTTAATTCTCTGGTGTTCCTTTTTCCCAGTTTTTAAAGAATTATTATTACTCCTCTCATTCCTTGCACTTGGGCCTCCTGTGACAGGCTCCACTTCCTGTGGAAGCCATTTTGTGCCTGACTCTTCCACCTGAGGCAGCCATTTTGTGGCTGAACATACCACCTTGTTTCTGAATTCTAAACTTGCCCACAGGCTCAAAAAGGCTAGCACGACCCCTCTTTCAGAGGCACCAACTGATCTTGGATTTTGGCAAAAGGCCAACATTTTTCTTGATGGTCCACAGACTCAGTGCCAGATTACAGCAGAGATTACCAGGCTCTGAAAGTGTCCAAACTGCAACCCAAAAAGAGGAATCCAGTGATGTTCCATAGCTACAACTGTTTTTAGCTACAGTTTCACACTCCTGCCACACCTGTAGTTCGAGCCCTCCTGAGCTCCCGAATTTCTCAGAAACGCAAACATTAAAGAGTTATTCCTGGCAGTAAACAGACAACACTACGGAAATACCCACCGCTAAGCAAAACTGTAAGCGAAGGGTATGCCATGGAAATACCCGAAATAAGTCTGACGGGCAAAAGGGCGGATAGACTCTCCACAAGTTTGGATTTTAAAAGCAACAAATGGAATGATCTCCAAGATTGAAGGCAAGAATTTAAGCGGATTACAATCCTTGAAAAAGAAAAAGGAACTTTGTTCTGAGAGGACCAGTTCCAGCTCCAGCAAGACACAGGGAAAATGTTTCCACAGGGAAAATGTTTAAGACAAATGAAGATAACAGCGTGGGAAGAGAAATGGACTGTGTTACACCTACTGAGGGAAATATAATTATAAATTTGCTTTAAATGGAGGGAAAAATAATTGTAAAATGAGATGCCACTGCTCTCTGAAACTTGTGTTTAAGTGAATTAACGATTATCCTGGAATGCTCTTTATATAGTCAGATTTGATGGTTTGTTAACATAATCGATGATGATGACTGACCACTCTCAATGTCAAGAAAAGCAATTTTTATATTGTTAAGCTAATACTTTTATAAGCAATGTATGACCTCCAACTCTTGGGTTTTTAGAGAAGAAGAAGAAGAAATTGGATTTATACCCCGCCCTTTCACTTGGAGTCTCAGAGCGGCTTACAAACTCCTCTCCCTTCCCCTCCCCACAACAGACACCCTGTGAGGTGGGTGGGGCTGAGAGAGCTCTGACACAAACTGCTCTTTTTCAAGGACAGCTGTGCCAGAGCTTGTGACTGACCCAAGGTCACATCAGCAGGTGCAAGTGGAGGAGTGGGGAATCAAACCCGGTTCTCCCAGATTAGAGTCCGCGCACTTAACCACTACAACAAACTGGGTTTTCTTTACTTTCTCCCATAGTTGTAGATCCCCTCCCTAATTTTGTTGTAGTTTTTAGAAAATGCAAATAAAAAACTCCCCTGCGGGGGGCCAAAAAAAAGGAAATACCCACCACTTCCTATACCCTTTTTCACATTATTAAGCCCTTCCCTACCTCAACCATCTTGATGGTTTCCAGTCGCAATGTGAGTTTTGGGTTCCTTTTCTGAACAGCTCTTGTTGGCCTCTCCACCCCAATCCCGTTCAGAGTGTCAAACTAGGGATCCCAAATCCGCTTGGGGGGTGGGGAAACTCCCGCCCCAGAGCCCCATTTCCCGGCGGCGCCGGATCGGGCCCCGGGGGGAACTCCACCCCGATGTGCACGTGGAAGATGTTCTAATACAGCAACTGTGCATTTGGCACCAGGCACACGCACCATAGGGTTTTCCCTTGTATGGCCGTGGCCCCGCCCCCAACGTGCCTGGCGTCCTCCCGTCACTTCCGGGTGACGCGCACAAGACGCCGGCCGGGAGCCCCCCGCTCCCGGCGAAAATAGACTTAGCAACCCTATGTCAAACTAGGATCCGGGAAACCCAGGCTGGAAGCCCCACACTGCTCCCTGAAGTTTGCTGGGTGACCTCGGGCCAGCCATGGTCTCTCACAGCCTAACCTACCTCATGTCAGAACCTTGGTCAAGAGACTCTCAACAACACTGTCCTTGGCAGTGATTTGTTTATTGAGATATCTGCATGGTCCAGGTGGAACGGTACCGTGTCAGGACTGAGGTTCACGCGGGAAATTCCATAGCTATAGACAGTTCAAACAAAAGTGCACCAATCGCACATTGCCAAACTCCCGCCTAAATTTCACGTGTCTAACCCTTGGGAATAAATGGCTCCCTTATCCATGAAAGCGAGAGAAGCACAGCTTTGACTTCAAGGTCGTCCCTGGAATTCAGGGGGACTTCAGCTTTGACTTCAAGGTCGTCCCTGGAATCCAGCAGGAAGAGTTGTCGCTTCTACAACCCCACAGTTCACATGCTTGAACACTCAAACTAACCCCCAGGGATTTCCCATCCCCCAGACATCGTGGCAAACTAGAGACAGCGTTTGATACCTCACAGGGTTGTTGTGAGAATAAAACGGAGGAACAAAGAATGATGCAATACGGTTTGGGTCCCCACCGGGGGGGGACGGACAACCAGGGCATAAATGAAGCGAATACATACATAAGTAACAAAAATAAACCATACCTATTGATGCCAAAGCTGCCCAGAGGCTACATCAACAGCTTACCTCATTAGCTTCGGCCAGCTGGTTCGCCTTCTCCTGCAGCTTCTGGTTCAGGGACTCCATGCTCTTCTGGCATGCCCTGTTGATCTCGATTTGCTCTTTAAGCTTATTCTCGGCCTCCTTTTCCCTCTCCTGACACTGCCTGATCTGCTTCTGGAGATCTTGGTTACGGTCAGCCTCCCGCTAGAGAAAGGGGAGAAAAGGGGATTTAATGCAGTTCCGCAGGGCCTGTAAATCGGAGATGTTCCGCCAGGCCTAGCGTTGAGGCGGCGGCAACTCATCCCTTAAGGGCCTCCCCTCACCCACCTATTTGCACTTTATCGTTCCATCCACAGCTACCACAATTAGATATGTGTAGCAGATGCCACTGAATGTCTTAGTTATGACTCAGTAATGGTTAGGAATGTTTTGTATCGGTATTTTATCCAGGGCTCTTTTTCTGGGGGAACGTGCCAGAACGGAGTTCCGGAACCTCTCCAACAAAATTCTTTCAGAAATGTTTAAAAGTTTGTGAGTTTTCAGTATACAAATTGAAAACTTCATTCCCCTCTTGAGAGTTCCAGCACCAGTTCCCCCCCCCCCAAAAAAGCCCTGACTATATTTATATTTTAACCTTGTATTATACGTCTATTATATATTATTTTACCTGTGTTGTAACCCACCCTAAGTCAGCTTCTGGGGAGAGAGGGAGGGTTAAATATCGAACAAATAAATAAATTAATTAAAATGTAATTAAAAAACAAAACCAAAAAATGAAGACAGCAGAATATCTAGCTCAACCTTTTCTGGTCTGTAGCCCCTGGTACAAGCCCCACACAGTTTGCACCGTTGCTTCCAACATTTCCGATGCCCACTGAGGGTGCAGTCAGACGGGCCGTTTAGTCCGCTTTCGGCCCGCCTCAGAAATGGATTTTATCTGCACGATCACACAGTCAACATCTTGCCTCCCATTCCCAGCCATCACTTTCCGGCTCAAAACTGCTTTAACCCAGAGTATTTTGATTTTCCTGATTCTCCAGTTCCAGCCACATTTTCCCCCAGTGTGATCGCTCCTCCGGTGTCAAGTCACTTCCGGTTTAAACCCCCTCCCTGCTCGAAAGCTGCCCGAGGATTCCGCTTTTCGCCCACCATTTTAAAAAAAAAGTTGGCGGTGTGCTGCCACCGCGTTATTAAAAACAATGTTTAAACAGTGCCTAGTTTTAGTGTTTAGACAACTTCAAGATCTCATGGAGGCCATTTTCGGGGTAAACGTTTAAAGGGAAATGTTCCTTTAAAGTTTAAAGGAAAGTGTTACAGCAGTCGGGTTGAAGTGGAAATCACTGTTCTGCGCAGGCATGAACATTTGAGTTCTACAGATGGCTGATTGTGCGCATGCCCGAACTGAGAGAGAGAAAAACAGCAGCGAAGCACGCTCCCACATGTGGACGGCGGGGAGCAATGTGGCTGCGCAGTGATCTGGAGCAAGGAGGTGAGTGTGATCGCGATTCTCCAGGTTAAAAAAGACCTCCATCAGGTTAAAAAAGACCTGCACCAGGTTAAAAAAGATCGCATCAGGGCCGGAGCAGTTTAAACCGTTCCCAGCACGCCGTCTGTTTTTAGAAAGTCAGCAGGGCCAGGTGAGTCTTTTGCCCAGCAAGGCTTCTGATTGGCTGTGTAGATTTAAAAAAAAAAAAAAGATCGTGGTTTGGCAGCATGCTGTGGCTGGCTCTACCTCTTGGGGCAGCCATTTTGAGGCTGCACCCACCACACTATGTCAAAATTCCAAAGGTGCCCATGGAGCTGAAAGAGCATGGAGACCCCTGCTATACCACAATCTCCAGCTTTACCACAATTTCCAACTTTCTATAATCCGTAATACTTTTTTACCCAATTTCTGGTGACAGTGGCTCTTCTGCCATTTCTTTGGGAGGGTTTACGGCTGAGTGAAATTGGCCAAGTGACGGAAACTTAAGGGGGGGGGGACATATAGAGAACAGCAATTCTACCTTCTCTATCTGTGTTTTTAAACTTCCAGTCAGAGGGATGGACTTTAAGGGATTTCAAATGAAAATAAAGAGAAAACCCTGAAAACCTCCTTCAAACTAGAGAGGAAGTGTAACTTACATAATGTTCCTGGCACTGAATTCACCAGATTTCCTATGGTACTAGAAAAACTTGCTCTAATTACGTGATGTTCCACTGCACAGCTGCGGTGGCTCAAGCGGTTAAGACGCTAAACTGCAGGCTATGGAAGGTTGGTAGTTCAGTAGTTCAAGACCCGAGTGTGCCGCATGACGGAGTGAGCTCCCTTCTCTAGTTCCAGCTCCTGCCAACCTAGCAGTTCGAAAGCAAGAAATTGCAAGTAGATAAATAGGTACCACTTCAATGGGAAGGTAACAGCGTTCTGTGCGCCTTGGTGTTTAGTCATGCCGGCCACATGACCATGGAAATGTCTTCGGACAGCGCTGGCTCTTCGGCTTGGAAACAAAGATGAGCACCGCAACCCTAGAGTCGGATTCGACTGGCTTTCGAGCAAGGGAACCTTTACCTTTACACCACTGCAACACCGCATTCTAGGGTTGAAAATGCCTCCACAATCTTCCATCCCCTTCCCTGGATTTCCCACTTTCATTTAATAAATGAAAGAAGCAAACTGAATTTTCGGGAGGGTTGGGTAAGAATGGACGCTTGCTCTCATTACAACATCAGAAGAGCCCTGCTGGATCAGACCAGGGGTCCATCTTAGTCCAGCATCCTGTCTCACACAGTGGTCAACCAGTTGCTCTGGAGGGGCAACAACAGGACATAAAGGCCGAAGCCTTCCCCTGAGAAGAACGTAAGAAGAGCCCTGCTGGATCAGACCAGTGGTCTGCTTTGTCCAGCATTCTATCTCACACAGATGCCAACCGGCTCCTCTGGAGGTTCAACAACAGGGCATGTAGGCTGAGAAAAACATAAAAAGAGCCCTGCTGGATCAGACCAGTGATCCATCTAAGCATAAGAACATAAGAGGAGCCCTGCTGGATCAGACCAGTGGTCCATCTAGTCCAGCATCCTCTCTCACACAGGGGCCAACCAGTTCCTCTGGAGGGCCAACAACAGGGCACGGAGGCCGAGGCATTCCCCTGATGAGAACATAAGAAGACCCCTGCTGGATCAGACCAGCGGTCCATCGACTCCTGCATTGTTTCACTCAGTGGCCAACCAGTTGACCTGGAGGGCCAAACAAACTGGCATAGAGGCCGAAGGCTTCCTCTGATGTTGGCTCCTAGAACTCGTATTCAGAGGTTGACTGTCTCTGAACATGGAGGTTCCATTTCCCTGAATACGCAGGCTCTCGGTATTCGAGTTAACGAGTGCAAACATTCAAGCACTTGGGTTCTTGGTGCTGCTTCATACGCAAGTTGAAAATGAAACATCTTAAAAGGTATTTCTAAACCTCCTCTCTGGGCCACCGCGACAAGATTTCTGGCTGCAGGCCAGTTATATTTTAACTCGCCTATAGATTTTGGCTCCCCAGTATATCGGGCAAGTGATTACCGATGCACATGACAGTAGAAACCCATTTTCCCCGCCTTTTGAAACTCCAAAAAAGCATTTCCAGCCCGGCTTCCGTTTCCTCCCGACTCGAATCGATTAGCGCTTATTGGAAACGGTGCAGTAAATTGCTCTGCTAATCAAAGCAAAACAAGCCACGGATTTACATACTAAGCAAGGATTATGCAAAACAGCCAAAGATTCCTTTTAAAAAAAACTTTATCCACATGACTTCCTGAAAGGCAGAATCCGAGCCGGCTAATTACCACACTGTTGGCTTAGCTCGGCTCCCTCTTTTGTGCCGGGGCTTGAAGCGTTTCCATGACTGACTCAGCTAAATTTTGGGTTCGGCTGACAAGAGCCGTAATCCTCAAAAAAGCACATTTACTCAGGGTGCCGCTCGGAATCTCTTGCACTCACTTTTCCCAACCACACCAGAGACTTGCCTTTTACTTTGTTACAGAAATTCAGTTAACCCTCTCTGCCAAATAACATCCATGCCCTGCGGGACCTAATCCAGTTCTGCCGGACTTGCAAGGCAGAGATGTTTTGCCAGGCTTCCAATTGAGGATAGCGAAAGTTACCATGTTAATGGCACTCCTTTCCATGGGGCAGTGACACAATTGGAATTCGAAGTCTTAACGCCGTCGGAGAATGTATTTATCTATATATTTTTTTTGAGTTGTCCTATTAACCATGAACATTTTCATCGTTATGTTGTTTACCGCCCTGAGCCATGTGTATTCAGGGGTAGGGCGGTCTATACATTTAAATTATACATGTTGTTAGCGGTTCTAGATTTTCCAGGTTGTACGGCCGTGGTCTTGGCATTGTAGGACCTGACGTTTCGCCAGTAGCTGTGACTGGCATCCTTAGAGATATAACACAAAAAGATTTCTGTCTTATACCTCGGAGGATGCCAGTCACAGCTACTGGTGAAACGTCAGGTCCTACAATGCCAACGCCATGGCCGTACAGCCTGGAAAATCTACAACAGCTAAAGAACTCCAGCCATGAAAGCCTTCGACAACATATTATACACATTTCTGTTGTTCAGTCGCACAGTCGAGTCCAACTCTTCGCGACCCCATGGACCACATCACGCCAGGCCCTCCTGTCTTCCGCCGTGCTCCGGAGTTTGCTTAATTTCATGTTTGTTGCATCGGTAACACTGTCCAACCATCTCATCCTTTGCCGTCCCCTTCTTCTTTTGCCTCCAGTCTATCCCAGCCTTAGGGTCTTCTCCAGTGAGTGCTCCCTTCTCCTTTGGTGGCCAAAGGGTTTGAGCTTCAGCTTCAGTATCTGGCCTTCCAGGGAACAGTCAGGGTTAATTTCCTTTAGGATTGACTGATTCAATCTCCTCGCAGTCCAGGGGACTCTCAAGGGTCTTCTCCAGCACCATAATTCAAAAGAATCTATTCTTTAGCGCTCGGCCTTCCCTATAGTCCAGCGCTCACAGCCATACATTACTATTGGGAATACCATTGCTTTGACCATAAGGACTTTTGTTGGCAAGGTGATATACATGCACACATAACCAGGGGTCATTTCGTAGAAAACGACGTGCAGGAGCTCATTAGCACAACTCATTAGCATAACATATTTGCATATGCCACGCCCCCTGACATCACCGGAAGTGTGGGGGGCGGGGCTTGTTGCATGTGCCCGCCCCCTGGGCTCCTTACTGCTGGAGCTCCGCTCCTGTGAGCTCCCGCAGGAAATGACCCCTACACATAACCCATAAACGCCAGTGATCTTCAGAGGCCCTGTTTCAGTTGGCAACCCGAGAAAGGATCTCCCCAGTCATGGCACCAAAACTTTGGAACTCCCTCCCCGGGATGATTCGCCCGTCTCCCTCCATCAGTGTCCTTCATCAGCAGGTGAAGACTTTGGCTTATACCCCCAACAACTACTGGCCCTGCTCCCAGTGTTCTTTATGAGTTTCTAATTTTATTATTTCATCGTTTTATCTGTGTTTTTAATTGCTCAAATGTCTTAATTTTTTTTTTAATGTTCACTGCCTTGTGGACCTTGGTTGGGTCGAAAAGTGGCATAAAAGTATTAATAATAGCATTAATAATAGTATTCTTGGTGGTCGTGTTATTATATTGCTGAATTTTGGCAAAAGGTATTGAAATTGATTCTATCAATAACAGGTTATTCACTCCCTTTACAACCTGAGCTAATACTGCTTAATCTATGGGAAGATACTCCAATTCCACAAATACAAAAGACTTTGACTGTCGCATTATTAACTGCCGCAAAGCGATAGCTTCAAAGTGGAAGAACAAATTGGCGCCTTCAGTTTCGTTATGGATGTCTAAGATATGGGACAGCTATATTTTAGAAAAAATTACAAAGAGACTATTACAACTTGAACATAAAAACTATCAATCAGTTTTTGCTGAAAAATGGTTTCTGGTCATAAATTACATGGCACCGAATGGAATTATTCCTGATTATTTAGTTTCATCTGAAGTGTTTATTCAGATGAAGAAGAAGAAGAGGAGGAGGAGGAGGAGACTGGATTTATACCCCGCCCTTCACTACCCAAAGGTGTCTCAGAGCAGCTTACAAACTCCTTTCCCCTCCCCCTCCCCACAACAGACACTCTGTGAGGGAGGTGGGGCTGAGAGAGCTCTTGACTGAAACTGCTCTTTTTCAAGAACAGCTCTTGTCAGAACTACGGCTTGCCCAAGGTCATCCAGCCAGGTGCAAGTGGAGGAGTGGGGAATCAAACCCGGTTCTCCCAGATTAGAGTCTGCGCACTTAACCACAACACCAGACTGGCTCTCGTGACATGACTGTCTCTAGAGTATGTTTTAATTTTGATCAATAAATACTAGCTAGTTGAACTCAAATTCTTACATTTATACAAGATAGTTGCTAACCCAACTGCATTATTAGAAAACATGTTAAGAGTTTTAATTAGTTAAGTTTCGATAGATATACTGAATAGAATATCAAGAATATTATTAATGTTAAATAGTTTGTATTATTTGGGATTCTGTGTATCTTGTTTTATATTTATTTAATAAAAATTATTAAAATTCAAAAAAGTATTAATAGTTATTATTATTACTATTTCTGTTCTGCGGAAATTGCAATCCCAGGAGACAGCAAAACAGAAAAGAAAGAACAGGAGAAGATTGCAACATACCAAGACCCACGAATAGAGTTAGAGCACCTCTGGGAAAAGGAAGTGACCATCGTGCCAGCTGTCACTAGAGCTCTTGGAGCAGGGTCTAGGAGTCTCAAGAAACACCTGCACATTAGACAAGCCCGATCTCATCAGATCTTGGAAGCTAAGCAGGGTCGACCTGGCAAGTATTTGGATTGGAATGGGAGACCTCCTTGAAATACCAGCAGCCGGGAGGTTCGGTGGCACCTTAAAGATGAACAAAATTTAGAGCACCGAAAATGTCCGTGAGTCAGACACCCCTTCATCATATGCATGAAGGGCACATCCACTACGCACATGCATAAAGCTTTTAAAAAGTGTACCTACATCTGCCTTATGCAGGGATTCCCAACATGCCGCCACCCACCAAGTATTTTTAGAAAGTGGGCGTGGCCAAGTGAGGCTCTTGCCTACCAGGGCTTCTGACTGGCCATTACAGATTTCATTGGCTGGGCAGTTTCAAATAACATTGTGTCAGTGGCAGCTGCCACCACAGCGTTTCTTTTATTCTCTCTCACTCCTCTTTCCCAGTGTATGTTCAAGATTATCCCTTTCCCCCCTGCACTTGGGCTTCCTCTATGTGATTGGCTCCTGCAGCAGCCATTCTGTGTTTGGCTCCACCTCCTGCGGCAGTGATTTTGCACCCACCACCTGGGGTCAGCATTTATTTATTTATTTTGTTAGATTTGTATCCCACTCTCCCCACATAGCCGGCTCAGGACGGGTTCCATCAAAGCACAATATACAAACAATTAAAACCAATCAAAATACATCCGATAAAATACAACAACATTCCTATTTTTATTTATTTATTTAACATTCGGCTTCTATACCGCTCAGACCCGACGGTCTCAGAGCGGTTTACAATTGTGCTGCAAGTGCAGATTACTCCTAATTCTATGGCCACATATTACAAGGGGTGGGGCTGCCTACCGACACCCGGGTGGGTTCGCTGTTCTCGGCTCTCTTTCCTCGGCGGTCCACTGGGGTTGGCGCGCATCCGCGGCCAGTCCTTCTCAGCTTCGATCTTCCGGCGCACGGCCCGCGGTAGCCTCGGCCCAGCTGTGTCCATATCGGCTCCGCTGCGCCTGTGCCGCTCACACTGCCGTGTGCTCCTTCGTCGCTCCACCTCCACTGTCGCCGAGCGACGGACGCCGAGTGCTGGACGCTGTTGTTCCATCGGCCACCAGGGATCGCCGCACCGCACCACCACACCACCGTTGCCACCGCCATCGCTGGAGGAGGGTACCCCCTACCCTTCTAAGGGTAGGTACCCATTTATCTGTGGAGCTGTGGTGGCTCAAGTGGTTAAGACGCTGAACTGCAGGCTGTGGAAGGTCAGTAGTTCAGCAGTTCGAGACCCGGGTGCCGCAAGACGGAGTGAGCTCCCGTCTCTAGTTCCAACTCCTGCCAACCTAGCAGTTCGAAAGCAAGACATTGCAAGTAGATAAATAGGGACCACTTTGGTGGGAAGGTAACAGCGTTCCGTGCACCTTGGTGTTTAGTCATGCCGGCCACATGACCACGGAAACATCTTCGGACAGCGCTGGCTCTTCGGCTTTGAAACGGAGATGAGCACCGCAATCCTAGAGTCGGATTCGACTGGCTTTCGAGCAAGGGAACCTTTACCTTTACCCATTTATCTACTTGCAATTTAAACTTTCGAACCGCTAATATGCTAATCAGTGCCTCAACAGATAAGGTTTATTTCAAATTGGAGTTCCAAGATAGTAATACAGATCTGACCCGCTGAGGGGAAGGCCACGGGGCAACGGTTCCCATGGGTTCAAAAAGGTGGAGGACCCCTGGCCTAAAGGATGTAACCCTTCAGGCATCTGGTGAAGTGACCTTTGACTGGAATCAATTTCGTTAGTTTTTTAAGACATCGTTGGACTCCTGCTTTACTTTAATTACATTTAGACCCTGCCCTCTTGTCCACGGAAACAGGGTGAAAATGTTACCTGTACGTGTGAGTCTCCCCTTGCGTCCTCACAACTCCCTGTGAGGCAGGCCCAGGCGAGAGGCGGCCACTTATCCTAAGTACCCAAGTGAGTGCCGCAACAGTCGGAATCTGAACTTACACAACCCTGATCTGAGACAAAACGCTTAGTCGGTTCAATGACGTTCAAATCCATCTCAAAGAGTCCAAATTGTATGTTCCCTGGCTTACTCTGTGGTGTCTCTGGTGAGATCGCCACAAGATCGATCACGCAAAGAAAACCACACAGGGTCTCATGGGGGAGCAGAGCCGCCAACCCTCTAAGCCTCGTTCCACTACCACGCTCACCTCGTAATTCCTCGCGTGCGTGGTCGCTTGTTTCTCCAGCTCGATCCGGGCCCTCTTGTGACTCATCTCCATTTGCATCTTCTCCCGTTCTGCTTGCAAGAGCCGCACCCCCGAATGGATCTGCTCGGCCTCTGCTTCAACCTGTCCCATCGGCATGAAGACAAAAAAAGACAGAGATAGTACCACAGGCTGAGCCTGCCAGGCGATTCAAAGATGACTTTGGTTGCATTTCAGGAGTCCTCGTCCCTCGAATCGGTTAGGAAGAGGGGACTGGTGAACCTCTTCGCATTATGCAGACATGGTCAATCCCGAATGGGGAAATTATTACGAGCCCCCCCCCCCACCCCCAT